GGGGAGAGGCGCCTCTCCCCGGCCGCAGCAGCTCCAGGGCTGGGTCAGGTGGAGAAGCGTCTTTCCCCAGCAGTGGCGCCTCTCCCGTCCAGACCCCTATGGTTGTGCCCTTGTGCAGCCCTTGATGGTTTGCTGCACAGCCGCACAGCTTAGTGGGAACTTAGCTTCCCACCTCGTCAAAAAGAATGAACATCATAAATTTAACAACCACACCATAGTTGAACAATGCTGCATCCTAAGCAAAAGAACTGGTAGGTGTGTGTAACGGTGCCACCTGCCATGACTCAGCCCCCAAAGCAAATTGAGACGGGTCATAGACGTTGCTGCTTCAAAGTACGAACTGAACCTGCCTGGTGGGAGATGGGAAGAAATCTCTAAGGAAGGTTTATTTCATTATTCTCCTGCTTGGGATCTCTTGCGCTTTCCTCTCAAGCAGTGTCCAAGACTGGGGCCTCATCGTGCCAGTTGCTGCGCAGACAAACGCTGACAGAGATCAGGGTCCTGTTGTGCTGGGCTGCACAAACCTATAAATGAGTCCCTGCCCCCAGAACTGATTCTTTCTCCCCAAACAGGCTATTCAGGTTCCACACCGGACTTAATCCAACGGCTCGAGTTAGGGGAGGCAGAGCTCTGGATCAGGGATGCCGAGGACTCCAGGGAAAACTCAGGACCTGACAGCCCCTCCTCAGGTGAGTCATCATAATCTGATCCCTTCTGATTTACACACCTGCTAGCAGAGCGCTCCTTGATGTAGAAGGCAAAGGCAGAGCGAGATCCATTGGCTGGGAGCTGAAGAGAGACAAATTAGGGGCCAGTGTTTATCTGGGAGGGGAATGAACCACTGGGAGAGCTCCCCTCAGGATGCAATGGATTCTCCCTCACTGGGAGTCTGTTGGTGGAGAGGGAGCGTCTCTCCCTCAAAGCCCCGCTCTAACCCAGCCAGGAGTTACTGGGCCAGAGGCAGGAATCGCGGGGGAGTTTCTCTGGCTGGGATAGGCAGGAAGCCAGGCTGGATGGGCACAATGAGCCTGTCTGGCCTTGATATCTATGAATCATAGAAATCATAAAAATGTGGGAGTAGATGGGACCTCCGTAGGTCATCTCGTCCGGTCTCCTGCACTAAGACAAGACCAAGTATTATCTAGACCATCCCTGACAGGTGTGTTTCTAACCTTTTCTTAAAAACCTTCAATGATGGAGATTCCACAGCCTCCCTAGATAATTTTGTTCCAGTGCTTAACCACCCTCAGAGTTTCAAAGTTTTTCCTAATATCTAACCTAAATCTCCCTTGCTGCAATTTAAGCCCATTTACATCTTGTCCTGGCCTCAGTGGATAAGGAGAACAATTTATCACCCACTTCTTTGTAACAACCTTTTACGTACTTGAAGACTTCTATGAAGTTGTCCCCGACTCCCTCCCCCTTCTCTTCTCCAGACTAAACAAACCCCACTTTTTCAATCTTTTGTCATTGGTCGTCATGGTTTCCTGACCTTCTTGTTGATCTCTTCTGATATTCTCCAATTTGTCCACATTCTTTCTGAAGTATGGGGCCCAGAATTGGACACACTACTCCAGTTGAAGCCTTACCAGTGCTGAGTAGAGTGGAAGAATTACTTCTCGCATCTTGCTTGCAACACTCCTGCTAATACATCCCAGAATGATATTTGCTTTTTTTCCCAACAGTATTCCATTGTTGACTCATATTTATTTTGTGATCCATTATAACCCCATATGGTTTTCTGCAGTACTCCTTCCTAGGCTGTCATTTCCCATTCTGTATTTGTGTAACTGATTATTCTAATTTAAGTGTAGTACTTTGCATATGGTCTTATTGAATTTCATCTTATTTAATGCCAACCATTTCTCCAGTTTGTCAACATCCTTTTGAATTCTAATCCTGTCCTCTAAAGCACTTGCAACCCCTCCCAGCTTGGAATCATCTGTAAACTTTGAGTGTATTCTCTGTGCTACTGTCCAAATCATTTATGAAGATATGGAATAGAACTGGACCCAGGACAGATCCCTGTGTGATCCCACTCAAGATGCCCTTTCAGTTCATTTGTGAACCATAATAACTACTCTCTGAATGCGGTTTTCCAACCAGTTGTGCACCCACCTTATAGTAGGTTTGCCTAGGCTATATTTCTCTAGTTTGTTTATGAGAAGGTCAGGTAAGACAGGATCTAAAGTCGAGATGTGACATCTACTGCTTCTTCCCTATCCACAAGGCTTGTTACCTGTCAAAGAAGGATATTAGGTTGGTTTCACATAATTTGTTCTCGACAAATCCATATTGTCTCTTACTTATTACTTTATTTTCTTCTAAGTGCTCACAAATAGAATGTTTGATTACTTGCTTCATTATTTTTCCAGGTTTTGAAGTTACTATGACTGGTCTATAATTCCCCGAATTGTCCTTATTCCCCTTTCTATAACTGGTTACTATATTTGCCTTTTTCCAGTCCTTGGGGGTCTCTACCATCCTCCACAAGTTCTCAGAGATAATCACTAATGGCTCAGAGATCTCTTCAGCCAGATCCTTATGTATTCTAGGATGTATTTCATCAGGCCCTGCCTTATTGAAGGCATCTAACTTGTCTAAGTAATTCATAACTATTTCTTTTCCTATTTTAGGCTCAGATCCTACCCCTTTGACACTGATGTTCACTATGTTAGTCGACTGATCAATGCTAACTTTTTTGGTGAAAACTGAAACAAAAGAGGCATTTAACTGTTTGGCCATTGCTGCGTTTTCTCTTATTGTCTTTCCCTCCTCATTTAGTAATGGGCCTAGCCTGTCCATGGTCTTCCTCTTGCTTCCCATATATTTGTAAAAGGCTTTCTTGTTCCCCTTTATAGCCCTAGTTATTTTAATATAGTTTTTTGCCTTGGCCTTTCTAATTTTGTCCCTACATGCTTGTTGGGTTTTGTTTTTTTAATATTCATCCTTTGTAATTTGATCTAGTTTCCACTTCTTGTCTGACTGTTTTGAGTTTCAGGTCATTGAAGATCTGGTTAAGCCAGGGGGTTTTACTATCATACTTCCTGTCTTTCCTACTCATTGGCTATCTGTGACCTACAATGGGACCTAAAAATGATGGGGCCCTAAAGCTTCGAAAGAGAAATGGATTGGAGATGGGGAGGTGATGAACTTGGAAGAGGGGTGGGATAGTGATATGGGACAATGTGGGGTGGGAGATTTCAGAGGATGCTGGGGGAAAGAGAGAGGTCTCCGTGGTGGGGGGAGAATATGGGAGCTGCAATTACCAAGTGGGTAGGACATTGTAGTAGGATTGAAAACATCTTGGTTCATTTCTAGAAGTGAGTCACTACAGCTGCACCATGCCTCAGGTTCCTCAAGTGTGTAATGGGAAGGGCATTGCAGCTCTGAGGATAAACTTCATCTGTGTGTGTCAGTGGATCACTGGCACTTGGGGGTCAGACAAGCACCTGGGTAGAAAGAGATGTCTGTTGGTCCGTAGACCACAACACTTTCTTTTAGGCTTCACACACCTCAGAAAATCATACCAAGGCAGGGGTGCCCTCGAGATTTTTCAAATGGGCTTCATACTGCTGCCCCTTCTGGCTCAAGCTGTGTGTGCTGGTGTCCTATGGCCCTGGGCACCTGGATCCAGACATAGTTCAGACAGGGGCAAAAACCTGCTCGCAGCCTGGGAGAGCATCCCTGAGTCACTGGCTCCACCCAGGGAGCATCCACCCCACTCCCTCATTGCCACTTCATTTCTCACGTGACCTCTCAGACTGGAGAAACTTGTCCCCAGCAATCAAGGAGAAAGCTGGGAATGACTC